ACCCAGGCCGGGGAGATGATGGGGACCCAGGCCGGGGAGATGATGGACCCAGGCCTGAAGACGATGGACCCAGGCTGGGGGGATGATGGATTTAGGCCGGGGAGATGATGGACACAGGCTGGGGAGATGATGGACCCAGGCCTGAAGACGATGGACCCAGGCTGGGGGGATGATGGATTTAGGCCGGGGAGATGATGGACACAGGCTGGGGAGATGATGGACCCAGGCCGTGGAGATGATGGACCCAGGTCGGGGAGATGATGGCGGATGATGGACCCAGGCTGGGGGGATTATGTACCCGGGCCGGGGAGATGATGGACTCAGGCGGGGGAGATGACGGCAGATGATGGACCCAGGCTGGGCAGGTGATGGACCCAGGCTGGGGAGATGATGGACCCTGCCCGGGAAGATTAATGAAGTGATCAGAAGAAAATATGGAATAATAGACATGGAGTAGGGAGAATAGAAAAATGGATGGTCAGTATAAGAAAAGACCAAAGGATGACGGTCGACATATAAAGAGATACAAATCGACCAGAATCCTAGTAATCGACTCGGGTAAAAGTTAGACCAACCTGACGGGTTTTTACTTAACTGCAAACTTTTAAATATATAAAGTCAGTTTCTCGGTGTGTAAAACGTTTCTCTGCACAGTATATCCTCACCAGAATTATTCCCAGGGTTTTTGAATTCCATGTTCCAAATCTTTCTGACTTTTCATAAAGTCGTGCAAAGTCTTCGATAGGTTGAAGACGTTTGAAGAAAGTGTTTTCTGCTTCCATAGACAACCACCAACCTAATTTACGGATGAAAACAATTGAAAACAGAAAATGCTTTAGTAGCCTATATAGTCCACACAGAACTTAACTTGTATTGCATCTAGAGAAGAAAGTCGTATATGAAAAAAAAAACACGTCCACCCTTTAGGCTAGGAGTAAAGATGAGTAAAACTGTTTTAATCAGCCTTGTCGGTTTAGTTTGCTTTTCTTGAAGGATTAATATTTCGGATTATTTTTTCCCTTTTTAAATTTTGTAGTTGTCGGCTGCTCCTGGCTTATGATCATCTAAATATATATGCACTGTAGCTTACCATCAAAGGCGTGTATTGGGTAGTTGCAAAGCAAACCTCCATCTACATAGACATCCTCTTGACCGTTGAAAGTTTCTCGAACTACTTGAAACACTCCTGAAAAATAATGACGTACATGTGTCATACCTGTCGTATACTATGTACATTTCTAGAGTTCATGTCCAGTTTGAAACATTACAATGTATGGTTCGTTTCCAACTTCGTGTTTTCCCTGGTTTATACTTGATAGTCACACGTGGTAGAAATTGCCTGCTACGGCAAACATAAGTGTGTTTTTCTCACCATAACCTGTACTTGCTCTTTCTTGACAACGGTATTTTTTTCAACAGTAATGATTACAATACCTGGTAATGCCATTGACATTTTGACTGCTTTTCTAACTGGAATATTGGGCGTTGTTTTTGGATGAAAATACTCTACTGACATGTGACTCAAATTGGTCACCACAATGCAAATCTCTGTACCAAAAAGACGCAAAATCTAAAAGAGATTATATTGTGTGTGGGCTGTATGTTTAAATGAATTCATTGTGAATGGACCTTTCCCCTTATAACTGAAATTTTGATCTAGACAAGTCTAGACATAAATTTCATCACAGCTTGAAAGAGCATCACAAAATTAGTAATATTCCGAAGTTTCGTTGCGAAATGTTGTAAAATGCAGATAATATAGCCCTGCGAAATTTGCAATTTTCAGTCATTTTGTATTACGAGCGGGAAATTGATGCCCCAACATCCGATTGGGCTGTCAATTTCCCATGCGTAATACAAAATGACTGAAAAACGGCAAACTTCGCAATGCTATATTATCCGCATTTTACAACATTTCGCAACGAAACTTTGGAATATTACTAATTTTGCTACGCTCTTTCAAGCTGTGATGAAATTTTTGTCTAGATCAAAATTTTAGTTATAAGGGGAAAGGTCCATTAACCATTTAAAGATAAAATATTGAATTATAAAAGTGAATATTCATCCTTTTTGCCAAGTCACAGAATGCAATGCTTTCCTTTAATTTAAACAACAAATGGAGGGATAGTGCTCGCACGAAGATCCAAGGTACCAAAGATTTGCATGTACATGTACAATGGTAAAAAGTAAAATCGATAAATGGAAATAAATCATACTTATAAAGTATGATAGTGTGGATACTATGAATAAATGGATTATTGGTAACCATGATATTGAACACTACAATGTTAGTATATGACGTTTTATCTAGACAGAACATATAAGCACTTCATATCTTCCTTGATTGTATATAATAACTGCATACACTGTGCCTTATTAATGGAATAGTATAAAAATGCCTTTATTTGTTTATATAGCATATGATATCTATATGTAATTTCCATCAACCTGTGACTTTTTAAAAACATAATATAAATTGGAGAGGTTTTACTAGGGATTTACGTACATCTTTAAAAGTGATATCGTAGTCACCAGTTCTTTCTCTCAACTGCTCACCAAACCAGTTATTCAATTTTTTACCAGGGTTCCATCCGAAACCTTTCTTAAGATTTGGAAGCAAACTGCAGTAACCACAAGAATGATCTGGAGCAAAGGATAAAGATGGAAGGTAGAAATGATATCATATAGGCTACCATAAACCGTACTTTTACGCCCAATTTTGAGCCGTACTTTTAGTTTTACGCTCTATTTAAAAATACTTCACAGCTGGGGAAATCCATCCCTCTGAATAGGGAAATTGTCTAAGTTCTAGATCTGGTCTGAACAGCAGGCAGTGGTTGATTATTTACCGTAGTTTACAGATTCTCGTCAAGTATGAGTATATAAATTAAACTTTACCAGCCATGATTTTCCGCACATCTTGATCAAGAAATTCCTCTAATTCTCCTGCTGAAATACCAATTGCTGCCAAGGACGCTACCATAGCTCCAACGCTCGCTCCTGCGAAACGCTTGATGTTTTTTAAAATTCCCACATTTTCAAGGACCTGCGAGAGTTTATCATTTCATCAAATTACTAATTTATGTCTACACTATACATTGCTCACAACCAAACACAGTGCTTGTTATTTATTATTGTACTTGCAAAGCCTAAATACAGTAGCTCCAAAGGAATCTGTGCACAAAGAAAAAGTCTCCCTCCGGATCCAGAGTTTCCCTTCAAATCATCAAAAGGTGTAAAACAATGGATAATGTGACCGCGCATTACCAAATTATTTTTCAATATGTACATTGAACAACAACGCAATCTCAAATCGCAGATAAACCAGTATACAGGGTGTATCAAAATAAACGCAATTCATCTTTTGTGCTTAAATACTATTTCTAGTTAAACGCTTTTAGGCTTACTTCAAAGCCTGTTCTTTTCTCTTTCAAACAAACTATTATCCTTGTCTCCAATGTTAGTAATAATTGCACAAGAAAAGATTTAGTAAAACCTATCATTTTTAGTTGCTGTTTAATTATGCAAAGTAATCGACTCGGGTAAAAGTTAGACCAACCTGACGGGTTTTTACTTAACTGCAAACTTTTAAATATATAAAGTCAGTTTCTCGGTGTGTAAAACGTTTCTCTGCACAGTATATCCTCA